GTATCGCACCATAGGATGAGTAAGAGATGAGTAAGGCATAGACCTGTCTAGACCGTTCTGGAGTAGTACGGATTGTCCTAGACAGTACCAGAAGAGTCCGGAAGCATAGCTATAGTACACGAGCAGAGAGTCCCAAATATGGTAACATACTACATAAGCGACTACAGCTAAGCGCTAGGAGACGCATAGCCTCGTGTAGTCCGGACCGGATAAGTCCAAGTTCAACAGTAAGTGTAGGCCAGGTGGCAGCGATGGGCGGCGTAACTTACAAATCTACCCATAACAATGATGTCGTTGGGCCGGTGTTTGAGCCTCTCGACATAGCTTGAGAAAATTGTATGTTCGTCTAATAATTCTTCAAAGGCCCAGAAATAGTAGCGCGCGACATTCAACTTCCTACAGTACGCAATAGTCAGCACGGCTCGACAAGGCAGGCGCAACTCACAATTTTCGCATGGCTTTGATCGCGTTGATGATGTCGAGCTCTGATTTTGGTGTGAGCTGCCAAATGTTCATGCCTGTCACAAATAATGAGCTAAAGTCTTCGTAAGGGCTGAATTGTCTTGGCATGAAGCGCGCGACATCTCGGAGCATTGCAAGATGTGAACGTTTTTCGCTGTCCCTGAGACAACATGAGTATGCGCTGAGGGTCGTGAATGGAACGTGGGACGTACGGTATCCGAAAAGACTTGCTTATGCGTCTCATATCACGCTTGAAGCCCGCGCGCGTGAGCTCGCCTTCGTCGACGGAGTCGTCGTGAGCTCGGTGACGATGATGAGCGGGCCGCGAACGGGATGGGGATGATGAGCTGTAGTGGCGGCGACGCCGGCGTCCCTGTCTGCGGTCGTGGGAGCGCGAAGAAGACCCATGAGAGGCGGAGCGCCAAGAGCGTCCGCGAGAGGTGGAGTGGGAGGGGGCCCGATTGCGAGAGCCTCGTCGCGCCTTGCTGCGCCTGCGCCCGCGCCTGCGCGGGGATGCCGACCTGTCGTATCTCACAGGGGAGGTGCGACGGTGGTCGCGCAAGGAACGGCAGCGGCTGCCATAGCTGTCAGGCCTCCGGGATGCGTTACGGGAGTGTGGACGTTGATTAGGGCGTGGGGGACGTATAGGTGATGGCGGGCGTGCTGGTGGCTGGCGTCCTGCCTCCCGTGCAGGAGTGCGTCCGAGGGCGAGGGGTGCCAGGTTGGCCTCGGGGTCGTCAGCGAGCTCAGCGTCTTGTGCAGCGGCCCAATTGTCTACGAAAAGCTTGGTGGGCGGATCTGCGCGCGGCATGAGTAGAATACGATACATTTCATCGCCTGGTCAGTGTCGTACCTGTTTTTTGGGAGTCAGAGAGAGGACGGGATGACCGAGGGTTGGCGCCCGATTGGCGGGGTGCACCGTCGGGGGCAATGGGGGCGTCGAGGGCGCGTCGAGTCTCAGTATTCACTTGCAATGTATGATTGCCGTCGTGAGGCGGCAGGCCTTGAGAGGCTACACGGCGTCCCCGAGAATCACGGCATTCAGCAGGACGCCCACGGGTTCGAGACGATCGACCCGTGGTGTGGCGATGACGATCAGGGGAATCATGTCGATCCCTGGCGCGACTGCGGGATCGTCCTCGGGTTCGGGAACGACTGCGGGATCGTCCTCGGGTTCGGGAACGACCGCGGTTGCGGGACTGGCCTCGGTCCTTGGGTCTGCGGCTGTCGTCCTGGTAGTCGCGTGCGGAAGATTTGCGTGTGGAGTGGTTGATGTAGTTGTCCGCACGTGCCTTTGTCTTGGAGGCTGGATGGGGAGACCGCGATATGACATACCTATAAGGGGAAAGTGAATATATGCGCGCATATATGCGGCCAGACCACTGACTTACCTCGGAGCCCGGCGCCCTTTCCTATCGTGTCCTCCCATGGGATACGACGTATGCTTGAAAAACACGAGGGCGGGTCGATGTCTTCAAAGAGCGTGTCGATGATAATCTTCTTGGCATCGCCAAGGTGTCTGGGTTTGAGCTTCTCGGCCGGGATAAGACCGATGAGAGGGAGGAAAACAGTTTGCCCTCAAGTGGTGGTGGTCCAGAGGCAAGATGGGACATGAAGAAAACGACAGCGGTCGGAGGGTTTTGAGGCTTGGAGAGAAGAGAGCGAAGTCTTGTCCAAAAACGGGAAGTGACGCGATCGGCGACGCGTCTAGGCGCCAGATCGACATGGCGCACCAGTCATGTGATCGTGCACAGCCCAAGTGGGGAATTGCCGACTTGTGTTTTCGGATCTCCTGCTCTCCTCCAGGCCGCTGTCCTCTCCAGTGCCAGGCGCAACCCCCTCATGCGCGTCCTCGCCATCGTGCTCATTTTTTTCTTTATTTTCATAGCGCATCTATGCGAAGGATGTGGGGCTTCTTTCAAGGATGTCGCCCGGCACCGCGCAAATTGTTCCAGCGCGCACGAACTACTCGCCGGTGGACTCAAACGGCGCATACAGGAGACGGAGTGTCGCGACGCGGTTCGTTTGGCCAAAAAACAACAATGGGTGGCACGCAAAAAGGCTGAGATAGCAGAGCGCAAGCAAAAGGAGGCCGATAGGCAGGCCCGGCTCCAGGTTTGTCATTTGTTGTGGCGGGCAGAGCAGAACTCACAGCCTATATGCAGGCGGAACGGGCCGCAAGCATGCCCGCATTCCCAGAATTTACTAGTGAACGGTCTGGACGCATACGGCGGATCCCAGGTGCCTTCCGGGACATGGTCCCGTCTTCGCTCAAAGGTCTTCCCAGTCACCTCACACCTTTGCCGCCTCTGCCGCCTATCGCCCTCCCCCCTCATATGGATCATGATATACCTCCATTAGAGGATCCCGCCGTCGTCCAGGAGGCTCTCAACCCAGGCCCTCCTTTCCGTCGGCCCCCGGACCGCGTCGAGGACGCTCCCGATGAGCCCGAGCCTGAGCCGACGACCCGTGTGTATCCACCGCACACCATGGATCTCCCTACATGTGCTCCTCCTCCGCCTTACTTTGACACCGCGCCGAACGAATTTGGAGTTTTCCGTCGCTATACTTCGATGCCCCAGAGAGATCCGGAGGCCGGCCTGACGCCTGCAGACTTCGCCCACGCTGGCACTCACCTCCGTCCACCACTCGACGCGCGTGAGCGCAACCCATTGCGAGCCTTCGGTGCGGCCATGGCCAATGGCTTTCGACGTGCCTATGACATTGCTGCCCAGTCCTACGCTCTTTTTCTCAACTGGACCGTCTTTGCCATCATGGACTGGCAATACTCGGGCTCAGTCACCAAATCTACTGCCGAGTTGCAGCGACTGGTGGACGACGTCCTTCTCGACCCCCGCTTCGAGAAGGACGAACTCCTGGGCTTCAGCACTACCCGGGAGAAGCGTCGCCTCGACGACTTTCAACCCGCCGCGGGGGTATTTTCGGCCCACGACGGCTGGCGGGAGATCGAGGTGGAGCTCCGCGCCCCCAAGGAGCGGGAGCAGCACGAGAGCGAGGGCAACACTGAGTCCTTCTTCGTCCATGGTATCTGGGCCCGGAGCCTCACCGAGGTCATCAAAATGGGGTTCCGGGACATTGTTGCCCGGAAGTACCATTGGTTCCCCCATCTACTTTTCCGCAGGCGGTCCCCAGACGCACCTCCCGAACGGATCTATACCGACGTTTACAATTCTGACGCAATGCTCGAACAGCATGAGAACCTTCAGAAGCAGCCACGAAACCCGGCAGATAGCCCCGACATCGAATACGTTGTTTGTGCCGTTACCGTCTACTCCGACTCCACGCATCTTGCCCAGTTCGGGACCGCCTCCATGTGGCCTATACACGTACTATTCGCCAATTTGTCTAAGTACTTTCGCCTCAGACCATCAATGTTTGCAACTCACCATCTCGCATATATCCCAAACGTACGTCGCACTTCACAACTTAACCCTCAGCCACTCAACCGCATTTCACAGCTACCTGACGCACTTTTCGAATGGTACAAAGATCTTTACGGTGCCCCTCCCTCCGCGGCCGTCATCCGACTACTCAAGCACGACCTCATGCAAAAAATATGGCTTCAACTCCTCGACGCAGATTTTATGCACGCATTTGAGCACGGCATGCTGGTGGAGTGTGGCGACGGAGTCCTTAGACGGCTCTTTCCGCGCATATTCTTGTACTCTGCTGACTATCCAGAGAAGTGCGCTACATGTCCTGGCTCTTGGCACGCATATTCACCGCTTCGTAGATGTCTCGTCGCCTGCCTCAAATTCCTTGGCAAGTGCGCTTGCCCGGCATGTCTCATCGAAAAGAAGGATTTCGGCAAGATGGGCACGAAGATTGACCTCAAACACCGGGTGACGAAGAAGCGCGAGGACACTGGTTTTCTCCGCGCTGCTATTGCGAAAGCTCGCGAATGGATCTTCAGTCTGGGTCGTGCCCCCGAGGGCTCCAACATCAAGGCGACTCTCCTGAACAAGGTCTCGGTCACGCCCACTCGGGTACGTCTACGCGTCGATACTCTAGTATGACAATTTTACTAATCCATACCGGGGCGGTCAACAGTCGGCTTTTTCTATCAGATTTGCGAAATTTGGTCACAACTTCTACGATCTCTTCGCGCCCGATCTCATGCACGAGTTCGAGCTTGGCGTTTGGAAGGCAACCTTCACGCACCTCATCCGCGTGCTCATGGCGGCCGGAAGCAATGGCGTACAGGAGCTTGATCGCCGGCAAGTCCTGTCGTTATTCGCCCCAGCGTGACCATGCGAGCTCATGTATTTTGTTAGGTACTCTCTCATTCGGACATTTGGCCGCAGTGTTATCCGTCGATTTGGCGGGAACGTCTCCGGGCTGAAGAAGCCAGCTGCTCGAGATTTCGAGCAGCTTCTGAAGGTGCCCCAATCTGCTCACCTCCCGATGGCTGAGACTGACGTGCTACGTTCTCAGTGCGCACTTCCGGTCTTCGAGGGCCTTCTACCCGAACCGTACAACACCACTGTCCTTGATTTGCTTTTTGAGCTAGCCATGTGGCACGCCTACGCCAAGCTCGCTCTACACACACAAACGACGCTCGGAGCATTTCAAGCTGTTATGGTGTCCCTCGGCAAGGCGATGCGTGCGTTCATCCGAAATGTTTGCCCTTTCTACGACACAAAGGAGCTTCCGAGGGAGACGCAATCGTGTCAACGTCGCAAGGCAGTCGCCGCTCAGAATGCCCCCGGACGACATGCGGACCACTCTCAGGTTGGCTCAGCCGCGAAGGTGAAGACGCTCAACATCAATACAATCAAGTATCATCGTCTCGGCGACTATGTTCGCATGGTTTGCCGTACGGGAACATCGGACAATGCAAACACTCAAACCGTGAGTGGTGTTGCGATTTTTCGGTCTGCCCACATGTGCTCTCGATCAAAACGGCGGTCGACTCACATCTCGCATCATCTCCATACGCTGAATGCATGAGTCGCTAACCGGAGCCTGGCTCGAAGATGTACTCTCACTGATTGTCGCTGTTTCAGGGCGAGTTGGAACACCGGAGATTGAAGAGCTTCTATAAGCGTACCAACAAAAATCTGTCGTTCAGTTCTCAGGTCGCTGCAGAAGTCCGGTGACAGGCCATACTCGATCGCATTCGCCGTGGTATCCCAGCATCTTCCAAGCGAAACAAAATACTACCTGCATCGAAGGCAAAGGCCAGGCGTCGACGTAACCTATGCGTGCAGTTCGAAGAGGATGGACCGCTCCCAGCTACCAGCATTTACGACCACCACCATATGTCGACGGAGCAACGATATGCCGAAAATATTCACAATTTCTTGCAGACAAATGCTGACGATCCGGCATGCAAGGTACACACATCTGGCCGATGTGTTGCCTGCACTCATGATGTTGTACAGGATTTTTTACGTGACCTCAAGACACACCTCCTTCAACGTTTGACTGATGGAACTGCCCTTCACACTGACGACGAGCCCACAGATGAAGACATTGCACGCGTTCGTATCTGCGGCAACCGTCTCTATCGCCAGAAAGTCTTACGGATCAATTACACCACATACGACATGCGCCGTGCCCAGGACTCGATCAACCCACGTACCCACCCCGACGTCATGATGGTCGCCCCCGAGGGCAGTGCGCATCCATACCTCTATGCACGGGTGATCGGGCTGTTTCATGTGCACGCATACCTTGCAGGGTGCGATCCGTTGGATGCTGATGATACAGAGCCCAGGCCATTTCAGGTACTTTGGCTGCGATGGTTCGACGTCGATTTGTGCGCACCGGGGATCAAGTTGCGACGTTTGCCACGGCTGAAATGGGCAAGCACTGGTGATGAGGCTTTCGGCTTCATTGCACCTCGACAGGTCCTCCGCGCCGCCCATCTCATCCCCGCTTTCCATTACGGACAATCCGACGCGGCGCTCCCTGGTTCGAGCATTGCTCGACAAGAAGAAGAAAATGACATAGATTGGACATACCACTACGTTGGAATGTACGTGACCATCAACTGCTATGTTCCGACAACTAAATACTGTACAGATTTGCCGACCGCGACATGCTTATGCGACATGTAGGAGATGGCGTCGGTCATCAGAACACTGGTGCCCAAGCTGCCACATCACCTCCGGATACCGACGGGGACACTGATGATGAGGTCGAGCAGCCTGCGACTGACGCGGACGGTGATGGCGCTATGGCCGTCGATGTCCTCGAGGACACGACTGTAGGGGACGGCTATGAGAACCTTGGCTCTGACTATGATGAGGAGGGCTCGGAAGATGATGGCAGTGCAGGCACCAGTGACGATGAGGACAATGGCCAGAATTCAACTGATGATGAAGGCGACCTAGGGCCGGAGGACGGTGAGAACGACTTGCTCAGTGTAGACGAGTACGAGTATGCCCGTTCAGGCTACGCACCCTTGTAGCTTCTACACCATAACCGTATCCACTAGACTATTGCACCCAAGGGCAGTCGCATGTATCGCTATGATTCTTTTGTCCTTATGTGTGTATCTCATACTTGAACATGTATTATATGCAGGATGGGCGTACAAACATGCTTGCCCACATTCACACCAAATTCAAACGATCCATCTCCTTCGAGGCGATGCCTTTGCTCGACACCATGCACGACCTATCTATTGCCTCAATTGGTTTCGAGGCCAATCGGTCCCAATTTTGGCGCCCTTGGCCAATTGGGCCAACCACGCAAAATCATTTTGCAGTTTTGCTGATGACAATTACTCAGTATGTATCCCTTCAATATTCAACGTTGCTCATTGACCCTCCCCGTCCACGAAACGTCTCTAGGTGCGTCCCTTTCTATCTTGCATGCTGTTATGACCACCTGAGGTAAGTCTCGCGTTCTTGAATCCTGCAATTCCTGTGAGTTTGTGCATGATTAGTAGCTCCCTCACTAGACGTCCCTGGACTAGTTTTTTTGCCTCTGTCTCATGATCCTAACATCTAACAGTCCATAGCACAATCCTTGATCTCTTACTGTGCTTGACCTCATGCCCCGAGACGATTCCCTATCAGTGTCTTCTGCTGTCTGTGTCCTCCGTCGCTCATAGCTCTACTGTCCTCGCTTGTCTTTGACATTATGCTG